AGAATATATGGGTATGACTTTGGATCTAACTTTTTTCTAAGTTGTTTTGGGATATGTGCTTGAGCCTGAAAATCAAAAACTTTTAGGTGAGGCACATCTATTCTTTCACCGGTCCAAACTTCTTCTGGTACCTTATCCTTGACTGCTGTCGTTGGTGATCTATGTTTTACATAAATAGCAGTATTCATCGTTTCTGCCCAAATTTTTTTTGTAATATTGGCTTCAAACAACAAACATCTTCTTTTCAACAATGGTCCTTAAAGTTCGCTCCGCAACACCATTTTGTTAAGGTGTATATGGAATATTACTTTGATGAACTATCAGAAAATCTTTCATATCTTTGTTCATGTATTCAGTGCTGTTGTCACTACGTAAGCATTTAATCTTTTTGTTTGTTTGATTTTCCACTAGTGTTCTAAAGTTTTGAAATTGGTACAAAACTTCACTCTTCCGTTTTAACATGAATCTAAACACCTTTCTGCTATAGTCGTCGACAAAAGTTAGACAGTACCTTGCTCCTACCCAGGATACTTCTTCCATGGGACCGAAAATATCGGAATTGATAAGTTCTAGAAGATCTTTAGCACGTCTGGCTTTCTTTTTTGGAAATTTCTGGACAGTTTGCTTTCCTTCAATACACTTGATACAAGGCTCATCATTACCAGCGGTAAAATTGAATTCAGTGACCATATTTTTGAGCATTCGCATTCCTCTGCGGTTTAACTGCCCCAAATGCCTATGCCACAGATTACGATCTGAAGGAAACACAGATAAAGCAATCACTTGATCTTCATATTTGTCATAATTGAAAAATTCGATTCGTCGTAAAATTTGTAACCAAATTTATTAAAAATTGCTACGCAATCTTTTTCAGCTACCTTACTAACTGAAAGTAAATTGTTACTAAGGGTAGGTATATACATGACTTCAGAAATTGTTTTTGTGGATTTTTTCCAGATTGGTTGAGATTTATAGCCACACTTCCCACACCAACAGATTTAAATTTCTCCCCATTTGCAACTGCTATGTGCTGGATTTCACGTTCATTAAAATTTACCATCCAATCCTTTTTGAGAGTCATATGCGAAGTTGCTTCGGAGTCTATTACCCAATCAGCTGTGGAATTAGTGACCAATATTGCAGAAGTCAGCAGTGTTTGCTTTTTATCGTTTAATTTGAGACAGTCTAGCTTTTTATGCCCCTTTTCACCACAGGAGTAGCATTTGAGTTTCTTTTTATCAAATTTTTTCTTGTAACTTTTTGAATGCAAAGCAGTTTATTTATTTTGATCTTTTTGTCCCTGGGTAGATCTTCTTGCATCTTCTTCAATAAGCTTAGTTTTCACTTCATCTGACGAAAGTTTATCATTATTATAAGTCATAGTCATAACTAAAGCTGCATGTTCAGCATTTAAACCATTTAACATTACAAATGCAACGAAGTCGTCTTCGATGATGACACCTATATCAGCTAGTTTGAAAACTGTTGACATTATATCACTGATGTACTCCTCCATGTAATTATAATCATCTCTCCTGGTCCTGAAGAGATGTCTTTGTAAATCAAACTTTCTGTTCATGTTCTTGGATTCAAAAGTTTTTTGCAAATCATCCCATGCTTGTTTGGATGCAGTAGCTTTATAAACATGAACATAACACGTTGGTTTAATACATAAAGATATTTTTGCCAGTGCTCTATTATCCTTTTGTTTGATTAAATGATCAGAGCCTTCAGTACCCTCTGCTACTATATCCCATAGACCCTCTAACATCAAACTCATCTTCATAGCGAATTTCCACGATGTATAGTTGCGTTGTTCCTCCAACTTGTCGATATTTGGTACGGAAGCTGAAAAAGATTGCGTAGCAGTAAGGGTCGGGGTAACAGCTGTATCTTCAGAAGTTGACATTTTTTACAAAAAACTATAATCCATTACTTAGTTTTTCATCACTGGGCTCATAACCTGTTGCAGCTAAGCAGATTTAAGCAATATTTTGTTTAATGTGTATTATAAACCAGAACAAATAAAATAGATTTGATTTTCGTGACAATCATTTATATCAAGTATACGAAGTAATAAAACACAAAGATTGGTAATTAGTCATTAGATAAGATAGCTCTAACAATTATGAAAAAAGTACTAAATTATTATTAAAGTACTGTTTATTTAGATGATAATGAATTTATTCGTTTAATACATTTTAATTCATTAAACTTTAAAATATTTTATAACATTACCATATGTACATTACAGTTCATCAAATTTCTAGAGGCTTTCGACGGCTAGACAGAGAAAGCACTACTGACAGGCATCCCGACGGATTTACGCAATGAAAGTACACTCTGCGCATCAAGTATTTCACTATTTCATTCAGACGTAAAAGTCAGATGTAAATTTCGCTAAAACATTTCTTTTATTTTCGTTTGTGTTTTTTGCTCATTACAGTTTAATAGAACCTAAGTATGGAGTTTAATAGCAAATTAAGAGGCCGCGTGATTAACAGTCAATCTCGCGAAATAATAGCCAATGTTATAGAGTTTATGAGAAGAGAAGGAAACTTTAATTCACCTTCAATACCATTTAAAAATGTAAATGATTGTGTTGCTGCAGCCACAGGAGTATCTAAAAACACTGTCGTCCGCATTTCTGGAGAGAAAAAAGAATCGATAACCGTGAGATATCGGAATTTTTTAAACGACATATTTTGTTGCAGAAACCTGTAAATGTTTTTAAAAGTACATCCCATCTACTTCTTCTGGCTAAAATTTTAAGTATCCAACAGAAATAGTACCTGAGACAGTCGACTTTAAGAAAATGCCTACCGGCGCGACGACTAAAAATTAAAAAAAATGAATAACGCCAAATCCGCTATAATTAGAATAGGCAAATATGGTATCATTGTTTACAGAATTTCATGCTGAATCCTAAATTTAAAAAATATATAGGGTGTTCCCTTTAAAATAAAAAAGTTTTTTATGTTTAAAAAATTTCATTTTTAAAAATAATTTGCAAACACCCCGTACAACAAATAATGAATAACTAAATATTCTCAAGAAGTAAATCTCATCTACTACCTCTGGTTAAAATTTTAAGTATCTGATAGATATAGTATCTGAGATAGACGACTTTAAGAAAATGTCTACCGGCGACTAAAAATGTAGAAAAAAATTGAATAACGCCAAATCCGCTATAACTAGAATAGGCAAATGGGGTATCGTTGTTTACAGAATTTCATGCTGAATCTAAAATTAAAAAAAAATATGGGGTATTCTATTTCAAATAACGAAGTTAGTGGTCACTTCCGGTATAACCGGAAGTTGCACAAAGTTCATTTTATTTTAATAGAGCATATTCGATTATGTTTACTCAGAAAATGGCGAAAATACAAATTAATTTATTCTCCATAAAGTTGTAATGCCCGCCTTACGTGGGACACGGTGTATATATACATATATCTTAAAAAAACAGATTCATATGTGTTCTAAAATAAAGAATTTTGAAACATACAAAAGACGGTCCTATGTTCACAAAAGCCAGGTGTTTATATAACTAGGCGTACGTGACCAAACACATGTACAGTTCATCAAATTTCTAGAGGCTTTCGACGGCTAGACAGAGAAAGCACTACTGACATGCATCCCGACGGATTTACGCAATGAAATTACACTCTGCGCATCAAGTATTTCACTATTTCATTCAGACGTAAATGTCAGATGTAAATTTCGCTAAAACATTTCTTTTATTTTCGTTTGTGTTTCTTGCTCATTACAGTTTAATAGAACCTAAGTATGGAGTTTAATAGCAAATTAAGAGGCCGCGTGATTAACAGTCAATCTCGCGAAATAATAGCCAATGTTTATGAGAAGAGAAGGAAACTTTAATTCACCTTCAATACCATTTAAAAATGTAAATGATCGTGTTGCTGCAGCCACAGGAGTATCTAAAAACACTGTCGTCCGCATTTCTGGAGAGAAAAAAAGAATCGATAACCGTGAGATATCGGAATTTTCATCACCAAGAAAAACCATTAAAAAACCAAAAACAGTTAATGATATAAATGAAGCTGCACAAGAATCAAATTTTATTTTTTTATTATTAGATAGCTATTTTTGTTTCTGAGTTGTGTTCATTTACAGGCTCAATTTTTTCCGTTTCTCCTTTTTGATTTTATATGGGGTTTCAAGTTGTTTTTGACTTATTTCAACATAAATCACAACAACACACTTTTTTAATAAAGCAAACAAGTGTTAAGAGGTATATGTACGTGTAAACTACAATTACAAAAAATTGATATGAAACCCATGAAACCACCAACAAAAATGTAAAGCTAGCTTCCGTACTAGAACATGGTGTCATTCGTCGAGATAATTTATCGTTTTGTTTAATAGATCAAGAAATGTAAATATTCCCGTTATTTTTTATAAAATTATAAGAGAAATAATTTTTTTTCTAAATAGTATAGTTTATTATTTTGTAGAAAAACAAAATTTTGAAAATTTTAGTAATGTTTCAGAAACAACCGTTATTAATAATAGGTACCATTTTCCTTAATAAGGTAGAAATAAAATATAAACTATTTCCACGATTTACAAAGGCCTACAAAAAAATTATAGGTATTTTCCCCTATCCTATAAAATTTATATTTTCTGACTCAATTTCAAAAGGTTGAAGGAATTCCAAAACACCTTTTATGGCATAATAATTATTTTTAATTCTACATACTATCTTTAGCTGCTTTTAAAAACGTTCTAAGAAAGTCCAATCAGACCAATTTAATCCCTAAACTATTCCACACTTTTAAAATTTAATTACCTAAAAATATTAAAAACTATTTAAAATAACTTGTTTAGCAGACTGTACAATAGCTATCTTAGTCACACGTAGCGCGTTCTCTGTCTGGGCGTCGAACACCTCTAGAAATTTGATGAACTGTACACTCCAAAATCCTTAAAATCTATACAAAAAGCACGGAAATACTTATACATGCAAAAAAATTTACCTTAGCTTTCCACATGAACCAAAACTTAAAAACATCACATTTTCTTCCACATTGTAAATACTTGTCTCCTAGATCATAGCTTCTATCATAATGTTTATCCTTTTGAAATAAATATTCTGCACCTCGCGAAAAACAATTGTAAAGAATTTCAGTATTCTGGACCAATAAAAGTGAGCACTGTTGGGGCACAGCTAGCAATTTATGTGGGTTTACGACCTAAAACAAACAAATGATTCATAGAGATACGAGTTAATTTTTTATCGTCCAGCATGTTGATGGTTTGGTGGAAGATGTTAATTTGATTACTGAAACATATTGCGTCGTTTGCAAAAAAATCGGATTTGGTAGGATTAAAATAAGGTACTAAATGTTAACAATACAACAAATTGGATTTCCTGCACAAGCTAAGTTGCGAAAAAATTTTTTTACTGATTTACATAAATCCTGTTTTCCTGGGTGTTGAATACGTATCTAAACTTTATCACCTCTATTTTTAGGAAAAATCGCCAAGGAATATTTTAGTAGAACCATTAATTATTCTCAGTTGGGTGAAACTAACACATTCAGTCAGAAATATTGAATAAGTAGGATAATGGGCGCCTTGTGGTTGCTGTAATAATCACATGAAAAACTGTGAAGATAATTCGAGTACAATCGATAATGGTACATTGTTATTTGTAATTGTTAATTGCTGTTGTATTTATTTTTTAATAAAGATAATGACTAACGATGACGTACGGCAATGAACGTAGTGTAGGACAATGACTAACAAGCACGTACGACAATGGACGAAGGGTATTTTGTTACCTTGTTATTAATATTCAACTACTGTGACTAACGATGATGTATGACAACGAACGAAAAGTGTTTTAAATAATAATATTTAGCGAAGACAACGACTATGACCAACAAGGACGTACGACAATAAACGAAGAGTATTGTTATTAATATTCACCGAACGCTATGACGATACGAAGACGAACGACGCCGATACGATTTCTACCCGTCAATTAGCTTATTCTTAATACGAAATTCATAACCGTTTGGCTTCCCTTTGGCATCATTTTGACAAAAGCATCGCATTGTTGACAACGCTGTCCTTGATGTAATGATAATTGAATTTCTACGAATTTCTATGACTTTATATATCTACCTGACCGTATGTTTGCCTCCTCGGTCTGTCTGTTCTTCAGTCTATTTATATATCTGTCTATATCTCCGTCTGTTACGTAATCGGTAATTTCCCCTACTCTTCCGTTTTCTTCATTCAAATCCGACCAATAAAACTCGAGATACACGCTTAGATCCTTTTGGTATTCCTATTGTGTAGGATTTTTTTCTTTAGCGTTAATCTGTATCACGTTCTCTACATAATACCGTTTTACTCGTTTAAATTCGACTAATAATAGCCAAGATACACGCTTAGGTCTTTTCGGCATTGCTACTGCGCCGGATTTTTCTATTTATTGTTAATCTGTAACACGTTCTCTACATGATGACATTTTCATCGTTTAAATCTAACCAATAGTAATCGAGATACACGCTTAGGTCCTTTTGGCATATGACTGCTGACATGTGACACGTGACGCTATCTTATGGGGGACTGTCACGTCTCCATTTCCTTCTTACTTCTAATGTTGACACATGTTAGTGTCGTCGTTTTGAACTTCTTTGACTGTTATCCTCTTTTGTCTGTTTGCCCACCTTAAGTCCTTTTTACATGTCACTAATGCTCAGGATTATCCATCTTCTTTATCTTCTCCCCCGCTCTTCAGTTCTTTACGTCTTCAGGCTATGGTAATTTGATAGAAAATGGTGCCGGACATAGCCTGCTTCAGAGCTCCGCACTTGCGCAGTGTAGGGTGAGGCTTTAAACCGGGGATCAAGGTTAAATAATAATTAATTAATAAGTTACAACAGTAATTTTCAATTTAAAGTTTTAATCGACAATTGTTTAATTTTTTCGGCCGTCATATTGGATATGCCATTTTGTATTTCTGAGTTTTAAAGCCGTATTGAAAACCAGTTTCCTCGAAAACATCTTAGGTTACAGGTTTCTTTCTTATCCAAATAAGCAAATTTTAATATTTTCTGGCGCCGTATTGGATACGCCATTTTATATTTCAAATTGTTAACGTCATATTCAAAATTAATGACCTCAAAAACCCCTCAGGTTTTATTTTTTGCTACACAAGTAATTTTATATATTTTCGGGCGCCATATTGGATCCGCTATATTGTATTTATAATTTTTATTCAAAATCTGCGATGAAATAAACTCCTTTAAACCTTTACAGGTTTAATTTTTATGAAAAATAAGCAATTTTATTATTTTCGGGCATTATTTATGATCTGCTATTTTGTATTTCTTATGTTTAACGTCATATTTAAAATCAAGGACCCCAAAAACCCTAATATATACACGTACTTTCGTCTCATTAAAATGACTTACGTAAACAACTTGGTGTTTGCATCAAAAACTTCTTCTATTATTAATATTAGGAAAAAGTTATTATTCGTAAAAAGTTAAGCATGGTCTAAACCCTAAAATACAACCATCAGATATCAAATTTAATCAGTTTTATACGAGGTTTGTTAAAAATAAAGGTACTTTGACAAACCTCGTATACGGTTAAAAAAAACTGATATATGATGATTGCGTTTCAAGTTTTAGACAATGCAAAGCTTATTATAATCAATAACTTTTTGCCTAAAATTAATAATAAAAAAGTTTTCCATATGGTTCCAACTTAGTGAGACATAAAGAGGCTCTGTCGTGTTTGTTTTTTTTTTTTACTTTTTCTATTTTATTTTTGTTCTTTTTTTTATGGCGCATCATTTCTTGGTGATTAAAGAAAATGTAATTTTAGGTGTTATTTATTAGTATAAGTAATTTTTTAGTCAAGTATTAACCAGACCATGTACTATTTCTATATTGTACCTTTATAATTAAAAATTATAGTATGTACTACTCTTAGAAAAAAGTTAAAGAACCTGTTTGAGTTTTTAAAAATAAATAAATATTCTGTTTTGCTTAAACTACGTCCGGAATTAAATCTCACAGCACCCACCGAACTCCATTTTCTTGCAAAAACAATTACAATAACTACTTGCACCCTACCCGCACGGATTCAAGTAACAAATCAGACTATTAAAACAAAACTAGTTAGTAAAAGATTAACAGGTTAAGAGCCAAGCTGTTTTGAACAAAACTACCACCTGTGCCAACACACTTTTTTGCCTGAATCTTGTTCTTTGGATAGATTTGAATGTGTGTTCATGCTGAAGCCTAATACTTTTTTTCTCAAAAAAAAAACAAGAGGACACCGATGTCCGACGTGGCCCTGCCAGATAGGCGGAGGACACCGGTGTCCGCCATAACCTGAAAAAGATAATAATAATAATAATAATAATAATAATAATAATAATAATAATAATAATAATAATAATAATAATAATAATAATAATAATAATAATAATAATAATAATAATAATAATAATAATAATAATAATAATAATAATAATAATAATAATAATATTTATTAATCAACAACAACAAAATTCGACAAGAAAATTACAATTTGTTAATAAATATAATAATAAAACCCACAGAAGGTCTAGCCTGTGCGTGGGTTATAATAATAAAATTAAAAATAAATAATAAAATAATCGAATTAGTAATAAACTAATAAAACTAATAATATCAATAATAATAATAATTATAACAATAATAATAATAGTTAACGATAACATGAATAACAAAATCTACAATAATAAAAATAATATTGACAATAGTACTAACATTAATACCAATATCAATGCAATACCTCTACTAATACCAATACTTATATAACTACCAACACCAATAACAACACTAATACTAATATCAATAACAATTAAAATAACATTAATAAAATAATTTGTTTACTCAATTTTTAATCATTAATAATCATTCATATTTTATATATAATATATTACATTTAAATAAATATCTCTTTTTTATAGTTTATAGTGTTTCAAAGTAAGCATGTATTTGATTTCTAGGAATTGTTTTCATCCATTTTTTAATTTTATTTTTAAATAGTGATTTTGAGTTTATTGTTTTTAAATCAGGTGGGATTATATTATAAAATTTTGGACCAAGATAGCCATAGCTTCTTTGTAATAAGTTTTTATGAGATGCAGGTAAGTAGTTTGAATTTATTTTATATCTTGTATTATATTATAATCATGATTAATACTTCTTAATTCTCTTTTATTTAAATGTTGTCTTATAAGGATGTTTACAAAAAACAATTGTCGTATATCATTTACGCCTATTTCTTGATATAAAAGTTCGGTGGGAAATAATCTGGGTTTATTAAATAATATTTTAAGAATATATCTTTGTGTAGTTTCTAGGATTTTGATATGGGAGTTTTGTGCAGCTCCCCAAGCAACAACAGAATATGTTAGATGACTTTCTACTAAAGAATGGTACAAGATTCTTAGATGTTTTTCATCGTAAAACCTGTTGATGCACTTTAAACTGTAAGCCACAAATCTTAGCTTCTTTATTAGAAAATTTATTTGTACATCCCATTTTAAGTGTGCATCTATATATATACCAAGATATTTTATTTTTAGAGCCTGTCCGATTTTGAAAACAGAGTTCTCTTGTATAACCGTTAGTAGATTGTATTCAGGTAAGTAACTGGAATAGGAAGTAAAAGGAACATAAAATTTTTTACTGATATTTATTGTAAGCAACCTACTATCCATCCATTTTATTATTCTTGAAAAGTCTTCTTCCGCAATTACTTTTAGATCATTCCAACTATGCGACGAATATAGTATAGCTGTGTCATCAGCAAAACTAATTATATCCCCCCTACTTTCAATTTCAAAAATATCATTCAAATAAAGATTAAACAAAATTGGACCTAACACCGTTCCCTGAGGAACCCCATATTTAACTATCTTAAAATCACTCATAGTATTTCGGATCCGAACGCACTGTCTTCTATCTTTTAAGTAGTTTTTTAGAAGTAAATATGGTAGCCCTCTAAAGCCAATTTTTTCTAACACATCGAGAAGCTGGTCGTGACTAACGGTATCAAAAGCTTTTGCTAGATCTACAAATATGCACAATGTTGGGATTTTATTATCTATATTGTAGTTTATCTTACTTAAAAGTTCTGAAATTGCGTCTTCTGTATTTTTACCTTTAGTGAAACCGAATTGATTGGGAGCCATTATATTATAATTATTTAAATAGTTATTTATTCGATGTGCTAGAGATTTTTCAAAAATTTTTGTCAATGTAGAGGTTAGCGATATTGGTCTATAGTTAGTCACGCTTAGCCTATCCGTATTTTTATAAATGGGCATTACCACTGCTGTTTTAAATGCCATTGGACATTCACCCGTACTATAAATTTTATTTATTAAGAAAGTTAGAGGAACAGCAATATCTTCAGCAATGAGTTTAATATGTTCTGCTCTTATGTTATCCATTCCTGGGGCTTTTTTATTTTTTAAGGAATGTATAATTTTTATAATTTCCTCAGATGCAATTTTAGATAGGTGTACCACTCCCTCCCACGACATAGCCCTTTCACTTTTACTGAACATGTCAGAGCTTGCAAAAGCAGCGATCAACAAATAATTATTTGTTATTGAGGTTCGCAGTCGCACGTGTGTGGCATTAGACGGTGACTAAAAATGAGTAAGCGTTCAAAACAAATTGTAAAATTAGCTTTGGAAAAACATTATAAAGATAGGTAATTATACTTTTGCTTAGTAAATATAAAAATATCTGACATTACCAATTTTTTTACAAATAGTTCTGACGAAGAACCATTTTTAGACGATTCTTATGATGACCCGGCGTATATACCATCGGGTAGTAGTTCAGGAGCTAAAAAGAGTGATACAAGAAGTGACTCAAGTAAATCTACAAAAGAGATGTTGAAAAAATTGAGACTGCTAAATCTTCAGATAGTGGAAAAATCAGTGACTATGTTACTTTTATAAAAGACGATAACGCCCCTGGTTCCTCAGGTGAAATTTCTCATAAACGTGTTAAGTTGTCGAAACAAAAAGGGCAAAAAAAGGCTGAATCAGAAAATAGTGACGATGAGGTTCAAGATGAAATCCAGGAAACATAAGTTGATAATCAAGAGAATAACATCGGCTTAGGACTCCGTAATTTAGCTTACTCCAATTGGGGACCACCTGTTGGAAATCATATACAATTTGAGGAAACTTTTGATGATGGAATAAAGCCGGAGTATCTAGCATCTTTGAAGAGTTGGAAACCACTAGAATTCTATCTAGCTTTTGTTGATTCTTCTACAATAGATCTAATAGTGGACCAAACTAACTTGTATGCGACCCAATGTGTGATGAATACAGAAAATATTACAAATGGTGCCCGAATTCATTCTTGGGAGCCAACCAACCGAAAAGAAATTTTGCATTTTATAGGTTTACTGGAATATGTGGGCATTGTGCGAATGAGTACCATTCGTGATTATTGGTCCACTAAAAGGTTTTTCAAAAACGAAGTTGCTCATAAAATTATAAGTAGAAATAGATTCGAACTATTATTAAAAATGTTTCATTTTTCTGACAACAAGGCATGCCCAGAAGGAGATAGATTATATAAAGTGCAACCGCTTCTTGACAAACTAGTTAAAAACTGGCAATATATCTACACACCTGGAAAGACATTTTGTGTAGATGAAGCAGTAGTGCCCTTTCAAGGTAGGTTGCTGTTCAAACTATATAACTATATAACCCCCAAAAAGGGCATAAATATGGAATTAAGATTTTCAAACTTTATTGTGAAAATGGATACACTTGGAATTGTCAGATATATTCTGGGAAAGAAGGAGATGAAAATCCTGATAAAATATCCATTTCCATCAAATTTGGATTTGTGTTACAGACAATTGGTACGCAAGCATGCAGCTAGTACATACCCTCTTGGATCACAAAACCCACTCACTCGGAACATAACGAGGTAATCGCAAGGGAAATCAACCAGAAGTAATTTCCAAAAAACTTAAAAAGGGCGAAATTATCGCTCAAGAAAATGAACGAGAAATATGTATTGTGAAATGGCGTGACAAAAGTGATGTGTTAGTTTTGACCACTAGTCACACTGATGAAACAGTAGCAGTTCAACGCCGTGGTGGTATAGTACACAAACCTAAAGCAATCGTATATTACAACAATGGTAAAAGTGCAATAGACGTGTCGGATCAGATGTCCAGCTATAGCACGGCGTTGAGAAGAAGTGTTCGGTGGTATAAAAAGGTAGCTATAGAGGTACTTTTAGGAACATCAATGGTCAATGCGCATTTTATTTACAAACAGGCAGAAGAGAGCAATATAACCATAACAGATATTCGGTTGTTGAAGAGTTGTTGCTTTTTGACGATAATTCAGAAGATTTGCAGAACCCTACATCTACTGTAAGCTTGAGCTTGAGAGCTCATGTACTTCAGAAATTAGACTGCAAAGCTTGTGAAAATAGACGGTATTGCAAAGGTTGCTACAAAAAAAGCAGGATGGTATTCTTGACAAAAACAAAGTAAAAAAAGTGACAACTTACTGTGTGCAATGTGTAGGCAATCCAAGATTTTGTCTTTCTTGTTTCAACGATTTCCACAAGAAATAATTAATATTTGATTTTATGTTACTTTTGTATTCGACAAATACATTTTTTTTTCCAAATGTATTTTTGATGGGTTGTTAGTAGCTGGGGGAAACGGAGAACTTTCAGTCCTGGGCCGTAGCGGACACACACGAAACGTGATAGAAGAAAGCCAGAACCGGGATGTGTAAAGCAGGACCACGGCGGTCTCACAGTATTAAACAATTCTATAAAAGTGCGTCCGCTTGGCCGAGGCGCATCAATAAAAATTCGATTATCGGGCGGACTCCGGTGACATCCATGGCCCATGTTGAAAAACTTGAAGCGGATACCGGTGTCTGCCATGGCGCTTAACCTGATAAAGTCGGTTTCTAGATAATAAGACCATCCAGCGAAAACCTATTATAAGATATAAACTATTGGCTAAAATGTTATTTAAGCAACACCATAGTATTTTCAATTAAATATTTCTTTGATTGAAACAAATTGTTTCAAAACAATATAGGATTAAACCATTTAGTCATTATGAGTAAATAATTTATGTTGAAGTCTTCATTCAAACAAATGAAATGTTTCTGCCTAACAAATCTGTTTCATGTAAACAAATTTAATAATATTACCTACATGAAATTAAAACAAACTGAAACTTATATTCAGACAACTCGAATTTTTCAGAGTGTACTCATCTCGCAAACGTTCTTCTACTCGCTAATTAGCAGATAATACAAAAATGAAAAGTATCGTGAATGTACGTACAGTTTCTTTTTTAATATCGCTCAAATCTCTCTCTAATGAAGTTAATCCCGACAATGTCTCGTTTCTATTTTCGCAAAACGGAAGCAAAGCGCTTGATAAAAGCAGGTCTACGGTTTTTATTTACTTTCCAGTTTTAATACAGCCGTAATCAAGTTGAAATTAACAACACTAGTTCTCTACTTACCAAAGAATTAGCTCGTTCAATCCCGTTAAGCTTCGCCCTGTGTTTTTGTGAGAAAATAAGGCCGCCTCCCCATGCGGCGTCGATGTGGAGCCATATGTTGTGCTTTTTGCAAATGTCCGCTATTTCGTTTATCGGATCGAAGGCACCACGGACTGTTGTTCCTTGAATAAGAAACATATTTTATTCACATATTGTTTTTCTATTTTCATTCATTTAGTGCAAATATTGTGACATCCATATTAATAATTTCATGATCTTTATTATGGTACAAGTATTGTAATAAATTTGTTAAAATTACTTCTAATGAGGAAGCTCCACTCGTCTTGTAGATATTTATTGAATAAAATATATAATGAACTGATGTATGTCGATTCTGACAATACTCATTTGTTAACATCATAAACAAGAACTACTCACTAAAACTATATACTTAAGATATTGAAGTAACTTTTTTAATATCTTTAAGTTTATTTCAATACTTTCCCTTGTTAAATAAAGTTATACAAAAATATTCATTGTGGTCCCATTAGTTATCTTATTTCCTCTAATCGGAGTTTCTGTAAGGGTGTTGTCATAATATCCGCGACTTGGTCCTGCGTGACTATTTGCTGAATTCCCAATTTTCCTTCCATGATTTTTTCTCTGACAAAAAAGTGCTTGATAGTTATGTGTTTTGTTCTGTTGTGGAATTCGGGATTCTGTTCCAATTTGACAGCTGCTGAATTATCAACTTGCAGAATGGACTTGTCTTAATTTGGCAATGTTCAAAAATAGATTAGTCAACAAGATGACTTTCTTTGTTGCTTCTGTAGTTGAAGTTGCTACGACTGGCTGTCTTCTGCTAATCCATGATATTGCTCCGCCTGCATATGAAACAACAACTCCAGAAGTAGATCGTCTAGTGCTAGTACATCTTGCAAAATCTGAGTCAGTGTAACAGTTTAAAATTCCTTTATTTAAATTTGTTTGGTAGACTATTCCTGAATCGAGAGTCCCTGCAATGTACCTAAAAACTCTTTTGACCCTTAAAACATCTTCACTTGTAGGTTTTTCTAAAGAGCTTGATAAAAATCATATACTGTAGGCTATGTCTGGTCGTGTACCAAGCATTAGATATATTAGGGCTCCCATAGCCTGCTTATAGGAATATTTACTTTTTTCGTCAACTTTCCCTGATTTTGAATTTTCTGTTGTCTTGATCATATGTGTAGAGACTGGTCTGCAAAATAAAAAATTAAATCGCTCAAGAATCTTCCTTGCATAAGCCTTTTGATTAATTCTGATGTTTCGTTCTCTCTTTTCAATCTCTATTCCTGGAAAATAGCCTGCAGATTTTGTTGTAATTTTGAATTCTGTTGTCAATTCTTTCAAAAAATTGCCTAATTCTTGAATATTACTTAATATGACTAGGCCATGATCAAAATAAAGCGCTAATATAAGCTTTTTGTTATTTTTCACTCTTCTATACAAGTATGGATCAGATTCACTTACTCTGAAACCTAAGTTTTGTAAGAAGCTACCAAAGCACCTATTCCAGCATCTTGGAGCTTGTTTTAATCCATATAAACTTCTCTTCAATTTATAAACTTTGCTTGTATCATTAGTGAAACCTTATGGCTGCTTCATGTAGATTACTTCATCCAGTTCTTTATATAAAAATGCAGTTAATACATCAAATTAAATAAGATTCATATTTTCGCTGGCTGCAATACTTATAATAGATCTTATAGTGCTTAATTTAGCTACGGGGCTAAATGTTTGATTAAAGTCAACACCTGTTCTTTGTTCGTAGCCTTTAATGACTAATCAGGGTTCATTTTAACTTTGAAAACCCAGTTACATGGCAAAGCCTTGGCTCCTTCGTGTAGATAAGACAACTCCCATGATTGGTTTTCATTCAATGACGTTAATTCGCTCTGAATAGCCTCTTGCCACTTGTTGCTTTGTTGACTACCCATTGCTTCTTTGTATGTTTCTGGAGTTCTGACAGTGTTGACTAAATCTTCTGCTATCATTAAATAATCCTCATATCTCACTGGTTTTTTATTTTTGATCGACCTCTGAGGTTATAATTGATTGCATTCTAGTTCTTCTTCTTATTCACTATCTATAGTTTTAATTTCTAAATCTCTTTTTTCAGAATTCTCGTCCATGTCCTCTTCTTCTACTTCACTATCTTTGCCATCACTTTCTTCGCTGTTGCTTTAAGGTTGATAATCTTTTAACGTTAGTTTAATGTGCTCTGTACAATCTCCTACCTTCTCTTGAAATTGTACATTTCTAGACAGAATTACTTTGTGATTTCCCTTTACCGAAATTCTGTACCTTTCATCCCCGTCGTAACCTACGAGATACCCCTTTATAGATTTCATATCCATTTTTTTCCTTCTTTTGTTTGGGACGTGTGCATAACAGGTAGAGCCTATTATTCGTAAATGCTTTATTCTTGGCTTCTTACCTAACCAAAATTGAAATAGCGATTTGTCCTGTACTGATGACAGTTCTATTTAGGATGTAGATAGCTGAGCTAACTAATTCGGCCCAAATAGCTTCGGAAAATACTATGTCTGAATTTGAATACCAAAAAAGCAATGTTGACCAATTTATAATAGTATACAAGATGTTTCTAAAAGGTGCAGAAAAAATGATACCACATATTCCTGAGTCCTTAATATAACGGTCTAACCCAACTTACTTCAATCCAAAAGTGGATGATTTCAGAAATACAGAGTTTTAAAAGTTCAATTTTGTTTTAGTTTTTCATTATTATTTTTTTTTAATAATTGGTGTGTTTTCAAAATATTTGACTAGGGGGGTTTTGTGAATTGAAAAATTTAAAGGGGCTTTTATTTTTATTGTATAATTTAAAGGGCGTAATTTTTATATCAAACACAGCTGTTCAAATCTCCCCTTACCACTTATACCCTTTTTGGTTAAACGACGTTGGAGAACAAGAAATTTTATTTAATATTTAAATTAGGGTTGTAACGGAGGCCTTCTTAGCGGAGGCGGATGCGGAGGCGATGAGTTTCGCCTCCGCGGATGCGGAGGTTAACGGAGGCGGAGGCGAAGGTAAACGTGGACATGGAAAAATATTAATTTATGGTTTATCAAAAGTAAAAAATCTTTATTTCAAATAGGTTTATTGTTAGTACTCTTTAATAAACATCAAAACTAGCAATCAAAATAACTAGTAATCAAAATTAAGGAGAGGCAAATTTTATTTTACAAATAACAGTTTTGCGGCTTTGTCACCTTCCAGGCGATTTCTAAGAGGATCATAAATTAAGCCAGCTGAACTAAATAATTGTTCACTTGGCACTGAACTGGGCGGCGCCGATAAATACGTGCGAACGATGGGAAAAAAGCTTTATATTTAGTAGTATTTCTCCACCACAATAAAGGGTCATCAAATGAGTCGATTTTCTTTATTATATTCACTAATTAGCTCACGCGTTTTTGTACCGATTGAAGTAAATACATCTCCGTTATAACTCCTCAAATATTTGACGGAGGCGGAAGCGGAGGCGAAGGTACGATTTCTTGCGGAACTTCCGCAGTAACGGAGGCGGAGGCGAAGTTCCGTTACAACCCTAATTTAAATACAAACTGACTTAAAAAACTTATTTCGTGGCATATGTGGCAAATCTAAATGATTCAATTCTTGCAAAATTTTATTCAATCTAGATAACTCATTTTTAAAAGAGAAATAGTATTTAGAACCCCTTATCAAATGTTTTTAGAAGTCCTGGGTCTTCCATTAATACTTTTTGGACAAGATATTGTTTTATTATTGCGGTAATATTTCAATACTCGGTAACTTATTGACGTAAGAAAAATGTTAAGTATTTAATATTATTTTTAATTTGAAACTAATGAGTAAAATTTACCGGTGGCTTGAAAAATTTTAGTTATTATATCAGTTTGGTTTTTGGTTTACTATCCAATGCCTATTTTTACATATTTATTATTTACTGCTATTTTAAGAGGCTTGAATAGCCTAAACTCGTTCGTTTTTGTTGTTTCGGTGAATTCTGCGAAGAACTGCTGTAATAGTATTCGATATAGAAGGATCCATAATGGTAAACATTCAATATATTTGCCTACATATGTTTCAAAAAGAACTGTTATTAACGAAATTAAATAAAAAATTGGGCAATTATGATGAGATATAAAAGCAATAACAAAACTTAAAACATAAAATGTCAGAACTGTCAACAATATCAATAATTATCAGCTTAAGGGTTGATATTTTCACCTCTGAGTAAATTTACATGTAGGTTTACTTGACAGATTAACAAACAATAGCCCTATAGTTTAATCAGCAAGTAGTTACTTTCAAATTTAATCAGAGGTGAAAAGACTGGCCCTAAAAGTATTAAGTTAAACTGACTGCAATCTGACCAATCAGAAGTCTACAGAATTGCCAACTTATATTCAAATTGTTTCTTTAAGGTTACAAACAGAGTACAGTAGTAGTTTCATTAGACCATGAAGCATTTTCTACTTCAACCTATGTAGATCTATTTTGACTGTCCTTTCATCTTGGCATATTGTCTAGTTAAGTCTAGTTTGGCTTCTTTTCTCTATGTGTACGAAATGTTATAATTTATAGACCTTCGCAGTAATTCAGTCCCAGTCCTGCGAGTGAGTTCCCTATTTAATCAAAATCTCGACATAACCGTAACTAAATATTTCTGAATTAAAAGAACTAATGTGGTCTTACTATTTTAGTCTGTTCTCTAGTGATCTGCTTTGTTGTCATAAATTTGAACTTAATTTTTTATTATTTACAACTTAAATACGAGTAATACAAAATACAGGGTGTTTCCGAACTTGGCGTCCAAATTTGTAGGGGAGGTAGTTCGCATAATTTGAGACCGATTCGCAGATTTCATTTTTCCAAAATATTTAAAATAAAAATAATTTAAAATTAATTAAAAATTATAAACAGGTACGGTCCTGCACAACGATGGGACGCCTTGACCCGCGCGCGCTGCGCTTAGAATCGACAAAATTGCAAATCGCATCTGTTTTTGAGGACTATTGCGCTACGTGCTCAGGGTAGGACCTGCTCTTTGATTTTTTTTATAATGGCTCTATTTTGTTTATTATAATTTTTTAGAAAAATTAAATCTGCCAATCGCTCTCAAATTATGCGAACCACCACCCCTACAAATTTGGACGCCAAGTTCGGAAACACCCTGTATATTTTTAGTCCCACTAAATTCCAAAATATTTTAAATTCCAACATTATAATAAATTATTCAATTATAAATTTGTGGACGCATCGATCAAGGGAAGCTGGTTTTGCAGTTTTTCTCTGACCTTTTTTATGCCTTGTCCTTAACTCATCCTATTCTGGTTATGCTCCGAGAGAAAACATACACTTATGTATTTTTTTTTCGAACTCTAAGAGTTCCCTTCAAAAACTTCCAGACATCTTTAAAAAACCGTCATTGCATTTTTTTATCAAAAAGAGTTATTTTAATGAAAATAAAATAATGTTCATATTAGTTTAACTTGGAATCCAGGATATTCTGGCGTCTTTCGTAACTGATCAGCTTGCAAACATAGGTCGATCCTTACCTATTTTTTTGCTTAAGTTTTTCATTTTATTAAAAGAAAACTTTTGACTAATGATTGCAAAACAAATTAGCTTGCAGCTTGGTATTCAAGCCACCGCGGATGCTAATATATTATATTATACTAATTTTATTTAAAAAAAAATTAAGATTTATAAACGCAAAATTGTGACAGAATTGTTTTGTAGGTTATAACTATATTTGGTTAACTAAAACAAATCTCTTTATAGTTATTTGTGCAAAAAGTAAGTGTTTATTGCACGCGACGAGTCCAATATACACTTTTTCACGAGTTGCATACAATTTTTTCTACGTTCATGCAAAAACCAAAAAATGTTTTATTTAGGCGACACTAAGTGCAGAACATTAAAAAGCGTAATTTAATAGCAAAATATTTAATAACTAATAATTAGCATCGAATAACATTAAAAAAGTACTACAACTATGTTAAGAAAAATAATTTAACCAAAACTTTAGGAACAACTGTGTTATGAACAATAATTAAGCTTAAACGTTGTTTTTGCCACTAATATTAAAAGTAAATGTACAATTTGTACAATTTTCAATATTAATATTTTTTAGTGAATTATTCTTCATTTGTTGTTTCTCTAAATAATGTACTTGTACTAGTACTTGGTATCTGTATAGTGTCAGTTTCTTCAGACTAAAATATTTGTTTTGAAATATTGATTTTGTTGGCCAGTGATTGCTCTAAGTATCCCTCCGCCACTGTCAACATTTCCATCCGCCGTGTCGTTTGAGCTCTAGTATATCTGCTCCAGTATCTGCAAGAAGTGTGGCAGAGGATCTCCTGAAGCAGTGCCCTGTGTATAGCTCAGGATTTTCCAAATGCAGAAATTTTGCATTTTCATATGGATTTTAGCAAACGTGTTTACACCAATTGCTTGGACAGTGCACTTTTCATTTCGGTAATTGATAAAAAAAGTTTATGCGGAATGTGATCGGGACGTAATTTCGTGTATTTATGATATATATCAAACAAATTTAATCCTTCTTCCACCTTACCTCTAATTACAAAACTTCGTTCGTTATCAGTTTCTGATCGTGGCACTTTTACTATTAATATTGAGCCTACTTCTTCTATGTCGTCCACACTTAATTTTTGGAGCTCATCTCTACGACATGTGATGCCAAATATTGCAGCGACCTACAACAAATTGTTCAAAAATATTTTACAAAAGCTACATAATTACAGACTTTTTTCATCAAATATTGGGAGTCCGGAGCTTCTTTTAGAAATTTGTAAATGTGTTCCCTGTTAAATACTTTTGACTTTTTTGCCCGAAATCCTACAGAATTCTGCTTTATGAATGCCATTAGTGTCTTATAATTTTTAATATTAATATTATCCTTTGAAGAAAGGCAAGCTTTCATTATTGAGTACTCAGACCAAAGTGATGAGGGTTTAATATCATGCAATCTTTTGTAAAAATACGCAAGACGAACATTTTCTGTAAAATTTACAACTTTTTTGTCGAAGCACCATTCTCTGAAACGATTGTAAGTTATTTCATACTGTTTTCTTGATTTAGTGGGTAATAAGTTTAATGACGCTGTATTTGCTATTTCACTGAATTCTGACGAAGTCCCAACGAATTCTTTTTCATCCCTGTCGTCTATTTTTTCAATTATATTACTCATTTTAAACTTTAAAATGCGTACTTAATTGTCAGAATTAATTTTTGACTGACGTTTCTAAAACTGTAGTTGTATTATCCAAATCATAGTAGCTGTGATCGTGCACCTTTGTTTGAGGCATTTATTTACGTTTGTGTAATGAGCATTACATGTACACACTGTATACGAGTTGTGCAGTGTATACTCTTGCATCGCATACGAGATTGTTTATTCGTTAATGTTATAATCTGATTAATATGTCATTTTTATAAGTCCAGTTATTTGCTGAATAAAGCCAAGTTTTGGTTGTTCTCTATTCCCTTATTACAATTTATTCAGCAAAAAAAAAATAACAGGTCATTTGGATTATGGAGAAGTCCCTAAAACCCGAGCATTTTGAAATTGATCCATCTTCCAAAACCTCTGGAGCCGAATGGTTATATTGGATTCAAACATTCGAGAATTTCATCGAAGCTCACAAAGAAGATTGCCCTGATTCTGTAAAGCTGAAACTGTTAACCAATTATGTATCCCCTCAGGTGTTCTCAGTGATTAGTGAAAATCTGAGCACAAGAATTCCATTTGGTGTTACCAATGGAGTTGCTAGTTTTCAAAGGGTAATAGATACAATTATCAGATAAGAAAAGTTGAAGGGCACTTTTGCTTATTTAGATGATATAACTATATGTGGTAAAGATCAGGAAGATCATGATAAAAATTTAAAAACATTTTTAGACGCTGCTACAAAATACAACTTAACAATAAATGAGGATAAGTCAAAATTTTCGCAGAAATCAATTAAATTATTAGGATATAGCATAGAAAACAAAACTATTAAACCAGATCCTGACCGTTTAAAACCTCTTATAGAATTTCCCATACCAGAAAACAGCGCATCATTAAATTGAGCTTAAGGAATGTTCTCACATTATTTTAAATGGATTTTAAAATTTTCTGAAAAAGTTCGGCCATTAGTTCAATGTTCCGGTTTTCCAATGAAGTTCGAAGAAAAATTGGCATTTGAAAACTTAAAGAATGAAATTATGAAATCGATGGTAAATGCTATAGATGACAAAATGCCATTCACAGTTGAAACAGACGCATCAGATCATACAATTGCTGCAACTTTATCACAAACAGGTAGACCTGTTGCTTTTTTCTCGCGTACGTTGTCAGATAGTGAGAAAAGACATGCTGGTGTAGAAAAAGAGGCATATGCAATTGTTGAATCTCTCAAGAAATGGAGGCATTATCTTACTGGCAGACCATTTCGTCTGATCACCGATCAAAAGTCTGTTTCCTTTTTGTTTAACAGCCGTCATAATGGGAAAATAAAAAGCGAGAAAATTCAACGTTGGCGTTTGGAATTATCAAACTACAAATTTGACATTGTTTACCGCCCAGGATCAGAAAATACAATATGTGATACGTTAAGTAGAGTATGTGCCAGTTCTGGATTAGCACTAAAACTTTATAAATTACATGAGAGTCTTTGTCACCCAGGAGTAACTCGAATGGTGCATTGGGTCAGATCTAAAAACTTACCGTACTCAATAGAAGAAATCAAAAAGATGACGTCTGAATGCAGAATTTACGCAGAAATAAAACCTCGTTTTTATAAACATAAAAATTTTCTTATTAAAGCTTCCTCTCCATTTGAAAGAATTTCCCTTGACTTTATAGGCCCTTTACCTTCCTCAACACCTAACAAATATTTATTAACTGCAATTGATGAGTATTCTAGATTCCCTTTTGCATTTCCTTGTTCTGATTGTTCTTCAGAAAATGTTATAAAACATTTATCATATATATTTTCAATTTTTGGTTATCCAGACTACATTCATACTGACCAAGGAAGTTCATTTATGTCTCAAAAGTTTAAGGAATTTCTGTCTTTACGAGGAATTGCATCAAGTCGTTCTACCCCTTACAATCCTAAGGGAAATGGTCAAATCGAGAAAGAAAACGGGACAATTTGGCGAACAA